GCCCGGCTTTTTTTTTTTTTTCTTTTTCAAAGCTGGTAGTGTACCTGGGATGGTTCTGAGCTTTGAAATTGGATTTTCATCTGAGTTGTATTATTCCCTATATCTTATGTACAAGTCTCATGAACTAACTCTACTGGCAAGATTTGTAGGCAAGACATTTTTTATGTTTCTCAATAGCAACCAGCAAGGTACAATATACTTAGTATATTTTCAAAATGTAGTTCTTAAACGAGGGATGATTAAATGAAGGGGTATTCATTTTTATAAAGAGGCAAACAGATCATGAAGTCAATAGTCAACTCTTCCAATGACAGCAACAGGCAAGTATTTTGATCTTAAACCAGCAAAGCATACTGCTATGATTACATTTTATAGCTGCTTACCTATTTTTGAATCCAGAGAGCCTTCAAAGTCATTTTTGGCCATGATAATGACAGGGACCTCTTGTTGGGTGAGCAAGTTTACAGCCGTCACGGGTGTGAGGCAATCTGCAAATGAGAGCAAACAGCTGTAGACATTGGTCAACTGAAACACCAACACCATCTGCATCTCAGAGGAAACAAGCGAAAAAAAGAAACACGACAACTTCTGTGTTGTGTGCTAATTGTTAAGGAATTTATCCTTTGAAGGATATTAATAGATAATTCACACCAGTGGAAAATCAAAAGATTAAACACACACATGAGAAAATGTTCATCCATGCTCATAAGAAGTGAAAATAGGCCGGGCTCGGTGGCTCAGCCTGTAATCCCAGCACTTTGGGAGGCCAAGGCAAGTGGATTGCTTGAGTCCGCAGGTTCAAGACCCACCTAGGCAACTTGGCAAGACCTCGTCTCTACAATAAAAATTAAAAATTAGCCGGGCGTGGTAGCGCATGCCTGTAGTTCTGGCTACTTGGAAGGCTGAGGTGGAAGGATTGCAGGAGTCAGCAGGTCGAGGCTGCGGTGGCCGGGAGAGTGCCACTGCACTCCAGCCTGGGCGACAGAGTGAGACTCCAACTCAAAAAAAAAAAAAAAAAAGAAGTGAAAATAGCATTTTTGCTTTCCAGCTGGTGGAGTAAAGACATTTCCATTACTGTCTTTCCTTTTGAAAAATACCTCAAATATACAGAAGAAGGAGAAACACAAAAATCTGTCTGTGGTAAAACTAGGGGACATCTGAAATTCCAAACCATAATACTTGAAGATGGGAGTGGATAGGAAGTAGAAAATGACTGAGCAGGAAGGAAGAAGGAGATTTCCAGATAAGAAGACAGACAAGACAAAGAGTTCCTATTCAGGTACCCTTTTCTTAGGAGATACTGTAGAATGTGTTCCAGCAAAGTCAAGGGGGTAAATCAAGAAAAAGGGAGACAGACATGGGCTCCAGGAAATATGAAATCCAACAAAGAAAAACAGGCAAGCATATTCACAGAACAAAGACAGAGAAGAAAGTTCTAGAAGGACAGATTAATACAACAGAGGGCTGGACGGTGACTAGGTCAGATTTAAGCCACATACAGGGCCTGGGAAACATATTCAGGAAAATAAGGGAATTGACAGATTATCTGGCAGGTTGGAATATGTAGCAAACTGTATTGAGAGGAGTTTCAAAGAATTATGGGGAGGGTGTGGGAAGAGTTAGCCAGAAAGCATACAAAACAAATGAAAAAAAAAAAAAAAGAGAACATTATGAATTTTGGGAAAAATAAAATGTTATATAAGAAGGAAAACATAATCAGAGTATACTTGGCTCAGTTGTAAACAGTATTTATGTGGTCCTAATAAAATATCCTAACATTGTATCATCTTAAATTAAGTTTATTACAACTATTGCAGCAGGGAGACAAGCCATCCGTACACACAACTTCACTGAATACATGTAAGGTTGGAACCCTAAAGACCTAAGTGGAGGCCCAAAGGAAGAAGGGATAAGAAGTGGTAAGTAATTAGTGAATTTATTCGAGTTAATTTACAAATAAGCAATTAATAGCTGTAATTTACGAACTCCTGCTATTCATGATACTTGCCATGCTTTATGATTTTTATGTAATTATCTAAAATATATTTTAGAAACCCCCAAATTAAAAGAAGCCTAGGAATTAGGAGTTATATTTCAATGAGGTAAAGATAGATTTAATAGGTATCTAAGCCAGCTCTTATCTTTTTTCACCTTTGGGTCAGGAAGCATAGGATGAGATATGGTGGAGAGACAGTGCATCACAGTCCAAATGGGTCTCCGAGGCTGAGGTTCAGCCAGCACCCATGCTACAGTGTATTAGCTGAGAGGCACCTGTTGACTGAGCTGGCCAAATACAAGCTCATTTCTCCAAGTAGGGACCCATATTTTTTATTTCACACTGTCTTGTCTCAAAGAAGACATGTATTATTTGTGAATTCTACAATTATGACATAATATTATTAGGAGGCTGGGGGTGGGGTAGTGAAGCAATAGTGAAAGTCACGAGGTAATGACTAAAACCGGTAAATCAAGAGACAGCAGTGTAGGCATATTATATGGATACGGAGTTCTATGCCAGAGAAATAGCATGTGGCAGATTACCAGTTGACCCTGTCTCTATCCCCTCCTTCTGATTCAGCAATAGGATGTCGTGTTGGACACATTACTAATGTGTTTAGCTAAGGGTAGCACTTTTCAACTTCCCTTGCCAGCTAGGTGTGGCCAGGGGGTATGCACAGAAGCAACCGCCAGGTTATGCCCTCAAAGGGAAGAAACATGCCTTTCTCCTTCCCACCCCCTGCCCCTTCTTATTTAGTGGAACACAGATGAAGTGTAGAGCAACTTGGAAAACATGGAGAAGGGCAAGACCCCAAAAGGGCAGAACAGGAAGACGGAAGGAACACTGGCCCTGACCACCTCACAAAGTACACTTGTCACACCTGCTTCAGAGTTTCATGTGGAAGAGAAATAAACTCCTATTTATTTCTTATATACACATACCTAAAATTATTAAAAGTGTTTGGGTAAGGAGGCTATTTATATAATTCTTGTTAGTACTCTTTACTTTTCATACAATATACACACATCACTTGGATTTTAAAACATACAAAGTTTTTCTTTTTTTTTCGAGTTGGAGTCTCACTCTGTTGCCCAGACTGGAGTGCAGTGGCCGCTCCCGGCCACCGCAGCCTCGACCTGCTGGGCTCCGACGATCCTTCCGCCTCAGCCTTCCAAGCAGCTGGAACTACAGGCGCACGCTACCACGCCCAGCTAGTTTTGTTTGTTCGTTTTGATTTATTGTAGAGATGAGGTCTTGCCTGCCCAGGCAGGTCTCGAACCCGCAGGCTCAGGCAATCCACTCACCTCAGTCTCCCAAAGGCGCGGGATTACAGGCTGAGCCACCGAGCCCGGCTAAAGTTTTTCAAAAGAGATGAAAATTAGAGTGATCTAGAAGAATTATTATTTTTGCACCTGGTAAGTTAGCAAAAACTTTTAGAAAGGTAACACCAATGTTTGTGATGTTGCAGTAAATTCATACGGATATGGCACTATATGAGGGGGGACCCCCCCCAAAACTGAAATTTATTTATAAAAAATTGTGTATTTATTCTACATGTTTAAACTTCAGTCACCTTCAATCAAAGTACTCTCTGTTGATGCAATACTCCTATCGAGATGCCTTTTCTACTGCTCAAAACAGTTTCTGAACTTGTCAATTTTGATGCCTTTTAATGTTTCTGCTGTTTTTTTTTTTGTTTTGCCTCTTCCACATGAGCAAAATGTTTCTCTTTGAGAACTTTTTTTTTTTTAAACCAGGGGAAACAAAAACTTGGGGTGAGATCAGGTGAATAGGGAAGGGGAGACATGCAGATCATGCTGCTTTTGGTCAAAAACTGATGAACACTTAGTGCAATGTGGGAAGACGTGCTCATAAATCACCCACCATGAAATGGGCAAATGTTTTGAAAGAAGCTCCAAAAAAAAATCCACTAAAGCCAAACACAGCCTCTCACAACAACACTAGCTGGTACACTGATGCCGATGGGTTCCCAGAACACTTACCTAGCGGGGGAAGCCTGTATTACAAAAGCCTACCCTCCAAAAAATAATTCTGTTTTTTTTGGGGGGGTGGTCTCCTCTCATACTTTGATGTGGCCCTTTCAGAAACTAACAAAAGCAACATGTAACAAGAACTAGGAAAAATACTCATAAAAAAGAAAAAAATCTCACAATAGTGACATTCTTTAGGAATGTCTCCTAAAGAAAACTATATAGAAGCAAGAGCCCTGTGTACATGAAAAAGGTCAAATGTTCAACAAAATAGGGAAGACGTAGGATATTATGATATGTTGATAGAATATTATGTATAGATTTAAAAAATTGTGAAGACTGCATAAAAACAAAGAAACATTTTTTGATAGCATATTAAATGAAGACAAGAAAAAGAGGCAGAAGCAGTCTGACTTTTAAGATACATGTATGTGGGAACATGAATTAAAAAATAACATGATCACATGCAAAGAATGAAGTTGAATCCCTACCTCATACCATATATAAAAATTAACTCAGAATGGATTAGAAACTCAAATGTAAGATCTAAAACTATAAAACTCTTAGAAAAAAAATTAGTGATCTTTTATTAGTGAATGGTATTTTAGATATAACACTAAAGGCAAAAGCAACAAAAGAAAATGGATAAATTGAACTTCATCAACATGAAAAGTTTTTTTGGTTTTTTTTTTGAGTCGGCGTCTCATCCTGTTGCCCAGGCTGAAGTGCAGTGGCATGCTCATGGCTACCGCAGCCTCTACCTGCTAGGCTCGGGCGATCCTTCCACCTCAGTCTTCCAAGTAGTTGGAACTACAGGTGCATGCCACCACACCCGGCTAATTTTTTTGTGTATTGTAGAGTCGAGGTATTGCCAAGTTTCCCAGGCTGGTCTCGAACCTCTGGGCTCAGGCAATCCTCTCATCTCTGCCTCCCAAAGTGCTGGGATTGCAGGTGGGAGCCACCGCACCTGGCAAAATGAAAAACTTTTGCCCTTCGAAGGGCACCATTAAGAAAGTGAAAAGACAACCCCTAGAATCGGAAAACAATTTTGTAAATCAGATTGTCTGATAAGAGACATATACCTAGAATATATAAAAAACTATTAAGATAAAATAATAAAAGACAAATAAAAATTAACTTTAAAATGGGCAAAGTAAATGAATGTCTATTTCTCCAAAGAAGATATATAAATGGCCAACAAACACATGAAAATATGCTTGACAACACTAGCCATCAGGGAAATGCAAATCAAAACCACAATGAGAAATCACTTCACACTCTAGCATGACCATAATAAAAAAGATAGAAAATAGTAAGTGTTGGCAAGGGCATGGAGAGATTGGAATACTCGTATACTGCTGGTGGTGATGTAAAATGGTGAAGACACTTTGGAAAATAGTCTGGCAGTTCTTCAAATGTATAGTTACTTATGGCCCAGTAATTCTACTCTTAGGTATGTGGCCAAGCAAATGAGAATACATGTCCACACAAAAATCTG